TGTGGTGGGTCCACAGTAGAACAGGCCCTGGTGACACAGGCTGTTTCCCTGCCAAACTGGCCGGTACAGTCGACAGACTTTACAGCCCCAAACTACATCTACCAGCTTTTGGCAGGCTGTAATTTCACTCTGTGCTCAATAACCTTGGTGGGCTGAGAAGTTTAGAATACAAAATCAAACCGCTCAAAGCAGAGTGAAGCGCACAGTGTGTGGAAGATTAATGGGTTAACAGAGGGCCAGTCTGCAGGCCGGCAGGCTGCCAGTTTAAACTCCACACTGGCTGTGAAAACTTGGTTCTGTTGGTTTGTGCATGCTGCTCCGAAACAACATGCAACAGGTTGTAGAGGAACTTTGAGCAGGTTTAAGAAACAGTTGGAGAGCTGCTGAAACCAAAGTGACGCTGAGTCTCCCAGTCAGCCACCTCAGTCTACCCCCACACTGGCTGTCCTGTTTGGTCTCTGAGCTCTGCAGCACTGTGCCACGTGCTGCAGCGTGGTCCTCATTATGTGCAGATTATCTTAGATCGTCCACTGATTGCTTTTTAATGTTCTTTTGTTTTGTTTTTTTGAGTGGGTCTGTGTCTGTTCTGCAAATCAGCGTCCCACGGGGATGATAAAGCAAATGGATCAGCATGTACGGGACGTGCCGAGGGCACTGAGTCTGAGCCGGTAGCAGCAGCAGCCAAGTTGAGTCACGCTGAGTCTAACACTGCCTAAGGTTGCAATGCTATCATGTGTATGCCAGTCAGTGTGGGGATACAGTATGCAAAAGGTGGACGGAGGCAAAAGCTTTCTCAGTATCAGACTGTGGCTGCATACTGGAAGAGGTATGTATCGTCACAGATCTGGTACAAATGACTAGAGAATCACTTATTTCTTCCAGCACTAGTATCCCGCTCTGCCAGACAAGTGTCACTCCTGGAAGACAAACTGATAGGCTGGGATTTGTGCAGCCGGCAAAACAGATGAAACCATGATGAAAACAGCTGAAATCCAAACTAAAGCTAACAAAAAATGGCAAATTGACTCTATGACACCCACTGCAGAGACTCACTACCTCCTACTGCACAATGTGCTGTGAGGAACCCCTGTGTGCAAAGGACTGCAGTGACACTGACAAGCGCAGCCTTCTCTCAGGTTTGCAGGTAACAGGACATGCAGACAGAAAAGCTTTCAATGTCCAGGATACATGTGACCATAAAGCCCCTGTGACTAGAATTCAAATGCCTACAGAACATTCAGTTTTTATTCAGATTTAGTCTTTTCACCTTCAAATTGCCCAATTAGAACATGCTGAGCTTCTTTCAGCCGTGCTCGCTCTCTCATTATTACCTTGCTAATCTTGTCTGAACAGCTTTTCATCACTGACAGATCCTGCAGTTGTATTCTGAGACATAACCATTGTTTCCAGGTCGTTGTATGTGATTAAAGTAGCAGAACCAGCACCAACACAGACTGCCAGGGTGAAACATGACTGTCTCCGGTTTGGGGCCAGCTCTCGCATGCAGGGTGGAAACTCTAGTGCAGATGGTTCTTTTGTTAATAAGATGGGAGTTTTTTCTTCAGAGTCTGAGGACGTGCACTTCATCTCTTCTACTCTCACAGCTTTGACATGAGTTTATTCTTCTTCTTCCTGTGGTGACCTGCAGGCGAACGAGCTGGGGATGACGTCAGCCTTCTACAAGTACATCCTCACCACCATGGTAAGAGCTTCACGCCGAGCCTTCACATCCATCAGGAAGCGCTCAGCTGGATTCTCCACACCCCGCCACTGAAATTCACTTCCTTTCTTCTCCCTGTCTCTTTCAGTATATTTAGCGGTTTGGCCAAAATAATCCCCTAATTTTAGTTTAGCTTTCCTTTGGTCTTCCTTTCCCTTTTTCTTTCCTCGTACTTTCACCATTGGTTTCCTTCCCCCTCCTCTTCTCCTATATTATTTCCCTCCTTCTGTCCTTTGTTCTTTTAATTTCCTCTTCCCGTGCTCTTACCTCCTTTCTTTTAGCCTCTTCTTCGCACCTTTTCCTTTTTTTTCCAAAGTTCATCTCTTCTATCATTTCCGTGTTTCCTCTGTTTCTTTTGATTAATTTTTCGTCCCAGTCCTCTCTTGTCCCTCTTTTATGTTTGTTCTCTATTTCCTCCCTTTCTTCTCCTAAATCCACACACTCCACATTCCATCTTTTCAGCCTTCCTACCTCCAAACTGTTTCACTTTTGTTTTGTTTTGTCTTTTTCTCCTTCTGCCCTCAACCCCTTCCTCTTCTGTTTTCTTTCTTTTGCCCTGTTTTCCGTCTTCTCTCTAACTTTCCTTGCTTTGCTTTCTTTGTTCACTCTTTTTCTAAATACCATGCCCTTTTCTTATTTCCTCCTTCTTTGCCCCCCTGACTTTTCCTTACAATCACTCATAATGTCACTGTTTTCTTGCTGCCAACTTCGTCAGCCAGCCATACCCACCTTTGTTTGTTTGTTAGCACCAAGCCATGTTTCCACTCCTCCAGGATGTTTGAGGTCACATTAAGAATCAACTCACTGTTCCAGCCATCCTTTTGCCTTTCCTCCTCTCATCTTCTACCTTCATCTCCTCTGACCTCCTCATCAAAGATGCATGCCGCTCCTGTCCTCGTTTGTCATCATTATAACTTCACTGTCCAGTGTCACACCCTTGTGCGAAGAGACTTTGTGTGGATAATAACTCGTCTCGATCTCCGCCTTGTCTCTAAACACCGTCGCGTCACAGACATTAACAGGGCTGCTCACAAGGGTACTTCATGCTGTGTTCACAAACCCAAGGGCAAAACCGTAGTTCTTTGTCCTCCAGAACTCTGGACGGGAACCAAAAGTAAGATGACTCCCCTCTTCACCCCTTCCCCACATACTCATGAACCTGCAGCGCTGACTGTGACCTACCTTTAGCTTTGTATGAAATATGCTCTGAAACAGGATGAAAGGTAATTCCACACAACAGTCTTTACCTCCTCAGATGATGGATTAAAACACCTGTTGTTGAGTAACAAATGTAGAATTGGGTTTGGAGCCCAAGTGGAAGACTTGTTTTATGTTTTCCAACATCATCACTAGGTCTGATGATGGCCATTCCCTTTCTAAAATAATCTGTAGATTCAACACCTCTAGCAACAACCACCCAGTTGCTGTGGTGCGGAATTATGTGTAATGTTAATGGGGGTTACTCGTTTGAACCTACAGAGCTCTGAACCCCAACTTTGCTGCTTTTGAAGCTTTTAGCTCTTAAATCTTTGGTTTTCGTGGACCATACAGGTTCAGTGCTCTGAAAGCAGCTGCCTGCTGCTGTTGGAAACAGAGCTGGAGAGACTGAATGATACAGAAAATATGATGGAAGTGATGTAAGATCAGAAGCTGTGTATAATGAGGGTCAAACCAAACATTAAGCTTCAGCTAATCGACTGCAGGATCACGTTTCCTCTGGAGCATTGCCATCTGGAGCAGCTGTCCAGTCAGGTAACTGTATCTGTTGGTGATAGGCTGGTTTACAGTCACTGTCGATAGAAAGTATAAAGGAGTTGACCATGCAGCCGAAGCACTGTGACACACTTGAGAAAGACAAAGCCAGAACATCTGTGCATCCCCCCCATGCTGATGTGTGAGAATTCGAACTCGTCGTAGCAGTACTATACACACTGTATGGATGGATCCTCAGTCACTGCTGCAACTTTGGTCATGGTGAGGAGACCACAGGACAGAATTGAAGAGTCCATAAAACTAGAGTCAGTAGTCAACAGACGTTTTGCAGAATGCAGGTCAGTGTCCTGAAATGACTTCAAGCCAGAAAGTCAGTTTCAAAAGCCAGAGCTGTCAAGTCTGGGTGAAGTAATCAGTGAGTCACAGGGGAGGCTGAATAGCCTTATTTCACCCTTGTAGATAATGGTTATGGTGAATAAAGCAGGAAGGACTCTAAATTTAATTTCTTGTTCTTTAAAATCTGAGTCATGTTGAAAACGTCTCCTCCTCTTCAGAGTGCACTGATCTGACCTCGTGCCACTTCTGAAACCTGCTTCTTTCTAAAGCAAGGTTGTGTCTTCATTGTGCTGCAGTCACGGCATCACTGGGATGTGGGACGCAGCTGCAGTGCTTCCTTCCTCAGCTGAGCTCTGACTCCTGCAGCCAACAGCTGGCAGTCCTGCAATCTGACAGTGGACTTGGCTGTAGCTGAAAATGATTTGGCAGCTGGCAGCCACAACAGCAACAGCAACAGCAGCAGCAGCTTCCTGACAAGCTGGAGCACAATTAAGTAAATAAGTGCTGAAGAGAACTGAGGAAAAAAGAAATTCACTTCACACACAGGTTGAATAGTCTCAGGATGTTTGACTGAAGGTGGAGACACCACCTCAGACTGTCCACAGACACACTTTCTGCAGACTGGATAGATTCTGTGCCAAATAAAGATGATGACATGATGTCATCACCCCCTGAAGCTCCCCAGAAGATGAACTCTCCATGAGTTTTCCCAAGCTCTGCTTTCTCAGGACAGTGTCAGCTGTGCACACAGACTAGCTATAAAGACCTAATAAACTGTTCTCACTTCAATGGGGAGAGCGGCTTCTCTTTCTTTGCTCAATCTTTAGCCAAGCCAATGGTTTGGTTTGAGCACTGATCATTCTGTCCACTGTTTTGGTCCAGAGAGAACTATTTCAGCTCCTCACACATGAGGATGATGATCATCTGAGTTCCTGTGGTTGCACCAGCGAGTGAAATATTTTCCACTACACAGACTGGCACAGACTTTTGTGCAGAAATCAGTGGTTTGGTTGTTACTTTGGTGATTCTCTGACTTTTGCCACTATCAGGTCAATCTTTTAATTTGTCCCAAACTTTGGTTTTTACTTTGGTTAGACATTGTCCACCCACACTCAGCTGCACTTTCTGTTTGCACTGTTTGCAAAGGATAGCAAGCTAACATACAAACCCAGCATGCTAAACATCTTTAGGCTGAGGCAGGCAGTGTGCTAACTGGAGTTACTGTGGGAATTTACAGTTTGTCCTCCTTTTTAGCATTTAGCTGTTCATAAGTGCAGTACAGTGCTACTCTGGCATGGCTATAGATTAGCAGGCTGAAATAACACTGACGTGATCAGTTTATGTATAAACCTACTCATGTTCCAACTTCACCGGTGTGAGGGTTCACTACATTTTTGTTTTAAAATTCTAGTGTATATTTACTGTAAATGTTTTTTTAAGCATTTGGGCTGAGATAAAACCAAACAAGACATTTAGAGGAATTTGTATCTGGCACTTTTCAGTTATTTCTTACCTTTCATATTTAACTGTTAACCTGGTTTAGATCAATCAATAATGAACAGAACCATTAGTTGAAATTAAAAAATAGCAGATTTATGAATAAGGCATATTCAGTGGACCATAAAACAAGACAGTTTCAGCAG